AGCGAGCGGTGATGTTAGCTGTCGAGTAGGTCAGGGAAACCTACCGCAGTTCGGAACGCCGACGAGCGGCGGAATCCTGCCCTTAATATAACAATCAATTTCTCCTTCCCTAATGAGGACGAAGGGATGAGACGGTTGCCAATCGATTGAAAATTGAATCCTCAACTGATTGCGATCTGTTTTATCCCTTCATCTCAATTAGAGGGGGAGAAACGAATATTCATGGATCGAGTGAGTCCCCAAACGGCTCTCCCCATTGAAAAATCCATTTCTCCTCCTCCAGCAGAGATTAAGGGATAAAACTGGTGACAATCGATTGAGAATTGGATCCTCAACCGATTGCTGTCGTTTCATTCCTTCATCTCAATTAGAGGGGGAGCGATGAATTTTTCAAGCGCCGGAGGATCCCGACCGATTCTCCGGCGGCTTTGATTAAAAAATCCATTTATCCTCCCCCAGCAGAGACTAAGGGATGAAACTGGTGACAATCGATTGAGAATTGGATCCTCAACCGATTGCAGTCGTTTCATCCCTTCATCTCAATTAGGGGAGGAGTGATGAATTTTTCAAGCGCCAGAGGATCCCGACCGATTCTCCGGCGGCTTTGATTGAAAAATCCATTTCTCCACCCCGAGCGGAGATTAAGGGATGAAACTGGGACCAATCGATTGAGAATTGAATCCTCAATCGATTGCGGTCGTTTCATCCCTTCATCTCAATTAGGGGAGGAGAGATGAATATTTGAAGCATGGAGTGAGTCCCAAACGGCTCTCCCCATAGAAAAATCTATTTCTCCTCCCCCAGCAGAGATTAAGGGATGAAACTGGTGACAATCGATTGAGAATTGAATCCTCAATCGATTGCGGTCGTTTCATCCCTTCATCTCAATTAGGGGAGGAGAGATGAATATTTGAAGCATGGAGTGAGTCCCAAACGGCTCTCCCCATTGAAAAATCCATTTCTCCTCCCGCAGCAGAGATTAAGGGATGAAACGGGTGACAATCGATTGTCACCAGTTTCATCCCTTAATCTCCGCTGCGGAAGGAGAAATGGATTTTTTAATCAAAGCCGCCGGAGAATAGGTTGAGATCCTCCGGTGCTTGAAAAATTCATCGCTCCCCCTCTACTTGAGATGAAGGGATGAAACAGACCGTCATCAGTTGAGGATTCAACTCTCTATCGATTGTCACCAGTTTCATCCCTTAATTTCTGCTGGAGGAAGAGAAATGGATTTTTCAATGGGAGCAGCCGTTTAGGGACTCACTCCATGCTTCAAATATTCATCACTCCTCCCCTAATTGAGATGAAGGGATGAAACGACCGCAGTCGATTGAGGATTCAATTTTCAATCGATTGTCACCAGTTTCATCCCTTAATCTCTGCTGGGGGAGGAGAAATGGATTTTTCAATGGGAGCAGCCGTTTAGGGACTCACTCCATGCTTCAAATATTCATCACTCCTCCCCTAATTGAGATGAAGGGATGAAACGACCGCTATTGGTTGAGGATCCAATCCTCAATCGATTGTCACCAGTTTCATCCCTTAATCTCTGCTGGAAAAGGAGAAATGGATTTTTCAATGGGGAGAGCCGTTTGGGGACTCACTAGATCCATAAATATTCGTTTCTCCCCCTCTAATTGAGATGAAGGGATAAAACAGATCGCAATCAGTTGAGGATTCAATTTTCAATCGATTGGCAACCGTTTCATCCCTTCGTCCTCATTAGGGAAGGAGAAATTGATTGTTATATTAAGGGCAGGATTCCGCCGCCCGTCGGCGTTTCGAACTGCGGTAGGTTTCCCTCACCTACTCGACAGCGAATTTCACCGCTCGCTCCGCCCTCCGATTCCACCATACGCGTTCCCCCCCACTTTGCGCCGTTATCGACGCTCTCACACGCTCCCTGTTTTACTTACAGGTACATACTCAAAATTAGTTCTGCGCCACCGCTACGAAATTTTGCGGTTGAAGCGTTTCCATAGGCGCTAGCAATCTCCCTTATAATCTCTGCTTCTACTTTAGTCAATCCTCTTTGTCCGGGGGTTTGCCGACCCCAGCGTGAGGCTAGTACGACCCCATGGCAGAGAGGGCGACGCGGTCGATTTCAGTGTCTGGCCGATTTCGCTATTTCGGTAACTCGGCAGTAATAGCAGTCCCGCTGTCACAGGGATAGTTTCGAAGGGGAATTTATGCCCTCCTCGTCCTCAACATGTTCTCAATGTTTTTCAGGTGATTCATTTGCTGGCTAATTATTATTAAGGAATGAAATCCAGACGGTGTGATGGAGAATTAAATTCCCCATCAATGGATTCCCGTTGCATATTTTAATCTCTGTAACAAAAAAATACAAACTACTACAAAAGTCATGGGCCAGTGAGAAAAATAATTTTCTTCTCGGCGCACACTGACTTTTCACCATTCGCCCGCGAATTAAAAATTTGTCTCTTCCCTCCTAATTGAAATTAAGGGATGAAAAAAAGGCAGTTTGACGGAGAACTAAATTAGCCATCAATTAACCCTCTTTCATCCCTTAATCTCTGTAAAAAGTGGAAGAAACTGTCATGGAAATCACAGCGCAGTAAGAAAAATAATTGTTTTGTGGCGCACAGTGACTCCCGGTAATTAAAAATTCACCTCTCCCCTCCTAATTGAGATTAAGGGATGAAAAAACGGCAGTTCGACGGAGAATTAAATGCTCCATTAATTGACCCTCTTTCATCCCTTAATCTCCGTAACAAAAAAATGAAAACTGCGATGAAACTCAGGGGCCAGTAAGAAAAATATTTTTTTCGCGGCGCACACTGACTTTTCACCATTCGCTCGCGAATTAAAAATTCACTTCTTCCCTCCTAATTGAGATTACGGAATGAAAAAACGGCAGTTCGACGGAGAATTAAATTCTCCATTGATTAACCCTCTTTCATCCCTTAATCTCAATTAGGAGGGGAGAAGTGAATTTTTAATTCGCGGGCGAATGGTGAAAAGTCAGGGTGCGCCGCGAAAAAATTATTTTTCTCACTGGCCCCTGACTTTCATAGCAGTTTTTATTTTTTTGTTACAGAGATTAAGGGATGAAAGAAGGTCAATTAATGGAGAATTTAATTCTTCGTCGAACTGCCATTTTTTCATCCCTTAATCCCAATTAGGAGGGGAGAGGTGAATTTTTAATTACCGGGAGTCACTGTGCGCCACAAAACAATTATTTTTCTTACTGCGCTGTGATTTCCATGACAGCTTCTTCCATTTTTTACAGAGATTAAGGGATGAAAGAGGGTTAATTGATGGGTAATTTAGTTCTCCGTCAAACAGCCTTTTTTTATCCCTTAATTTCAATTAGGAGGGGAGAGACAAATTTTTAATTCGCGGGCGAATGGTGAAAAGTCAGTGTGCGCCGAGAAGAAAATTATTTTTCTCACTGGCCCATGACTTTTGTCGTAGTTTGTATTTTTTTGTTACAGAGATTAAGGGATGCAACGGGAATCGATTGGCGGGGAATTTAATTCTCCATCACACCGTCTGGGTTTCATTCCTTAACATTAATTAGCCAGCAAATGAATCACCTGAAAAATATTAAGAACATGTTGAGGACGAGAAGGGTATAAATTCCCCTTCGAAACTATCCCTGTGACAGCGGGACTGCTATTACTGCCGAGTTACCGAAATAGCGAACTCGGCCAGACACCGAAATCGACCGCGTCGCCCTCTCTGCCATGGGGTCGTACTAGCCTCACGCTGGGGTCGGCCAAACCCCCGGATCTGAGCCTCTACTTTAGTCTATCCTCTTTGCTTCTCCATAAGCGCTTGCAATCTCCCCTATAATCTCTGCTGCCAACGCTACCGGTAACAGCCGGAAAAAAGGGAAGAAGAGAGAGAAAGAGAGAGAAACAGACATTATGTTCGTTGCCAACTTTGACGAATAAATCTAACGCTGAGAGAAAATAAAATCGCGAAATATTACATTATGATGGTTGCTATGGCGGATATTTTTATTTATTATTGATTTATCGAGAAAGTAAAAAATATCTTTAGAAAGCTCATAGTCAACTTATATAATGTAACTAAGGACGGATCTCGCGAGAAATTCTCGTGTTACGAGAAAAAAAATAAAAACCATTCGGGGAGTAGTTGTGTCATGTATATTATACGCAACAGCATCGGCCTATGACGTCACACTGGTAAAACGTCAACTTGGCCGATACGCTGTCGCGTATCTTGATTATGTAACGAAATTTCAGATTTTAGCTTCAACTTTAGTCCTTTTTCGGTGGAGATTTATACAAATCTTCCGAAAAATTCGTACATACAACCGCACACACATATACACATTTTCTGAAAACATCATATCTTCAAGTTTCATGACATTCTACATAATTTCCAGGCAAAATTAGAAGTTTGCCAAAATCAACGATTATAAAGTTCCCATTCGGAAGCAAAAAAATAATATGAAAAATTGAAAAATGACAGCTAATTATTACAAACGTAGAAGTTTAAATAAAATTACTTGGCATATCGTAGTTATTTAAATGTCGCTTATTTGAAAAGACGTGCCAACTTATTTTCGACATTTAACAATCGGGGTTTATTTCGGAATGAATTCGAATATTAGATCTTGTTGTTCGTGGTTTTGACATTAGTCATATGTAGCCCACCTAGTCACATAGTGTATGTTGATGGAACTTCGAATTGATTTTTGTAAAAATTGTTAGCTAATGCGATAATCGAGCAATCGAGAAGTATTCAAAGAATATTATGGAAACTGCCATGCATACGGGTGAAAAATATTTATGAAATTTTCTACTTCTTCAATCGATCGTACTGGAAACATTGTTCTTATTTTTGGAATGTTATTATTCTCTCTTCCAATGATTGCATACTGATGAAATTAAGAACATTTTATCGAGTTCGTTTTGGACATTTCAATTCACAAATTCAATATCTGGTTGATACATTTTTTCAATGACTCAATACTTTAGTTTTGCACCACCAATAGATCGAATTACCTTGTTAATCCTCTAGTAGTCCCAGGCCTAATTGCTGCAATTCCGTGCTGCGTGACAGGTCTCTCCATCATCCCGGAATTGGTATGAGCAGTGGGTGGAACTCCAGTGTGTAACCTACTCATCCCCATAGACGAGGTCATCGTATTTAATCGTCCACTCGCAGTACTCCCTCGACCAGAGTACACAGATGCTGATGGAGGTCTCATAGAAATTTTAGCTGGGGTCGCAGCTCGACAGGTATTTGGCTCACGCGATGACTCGTTCTGGACTCCTCTCCGGGATACGGGACGCTCAACGCGTGTCTGGGGTCTCCCTATTTGTAGCCTTTCGGACAAGGGACGGTTTGGGTCATCGTTCTCTGGACTCCAATGGTGCACATTGCGTTCAGAAGGAGGGCGACCGCTCGTTTTTGGACGCTGATTCTCCATTTTCTAATTTTATAATTAATGCCAGAACTGAGAACAATGAAAAATAGTTTGCTGAAAGAACGATTTTTCTTCGTAATAAAGTTGATTTTCTTAAGGTAAGGCATTGTTTTGAAGTTTATTACCATAGAAACCAATCAAATATAACAAGCCTGGGGGCGAAACAGTACCTCTACTGACCGGTAGAGCAACTTTTGGAAGGGATTCCGTTACTATGGATGCCAGAATCATAACAGATGGATAAATAATCACAATATATATGCTACTGACCATCATCCGGTGACACTTTGATCCTTTATTTTTTGGATTTTCCTATGCACTCATAAAGAATACGTTATTAAACAGTGAAGATTGCAATTTCAAAGAAACAAAAAAAATTGTTAATTCTGTTCTTCTATTCTCACTTGTTTTTTAGTTAGTTGCATATACATCATGATAAGCAGACAAGCTGGAATTGATGAAGATTTGTACGGCGGGTACAATGATTATCCTTCGATATATAATACTGAGGATTTGGGTGAGGATAGCGTGTTTCAAGAGGCTGTTCAGATGAGTAACTACAGGAAAAATATCGTAAGTTGAATAGGATATAATCTGAAATTGCACTTTCTCTGTTGTTGAAATTATCAATTATCACCTCGTTTTCATTCTCAAGATAACCCCAAAGGTACCTGGAACAGCAATGAGACTGGGAACATCTTCAGGGGTAAGATGAATTATCTTTTTCATTCAACTATTAAATGATGAAACGGAATGTATCCTGGATTTATTGTAGGATTATTCATTTGCTATATTCGAAATGGTTTCAGGAAATTCATCTAAGCAACTTTTTCATAGGAAGTTTTAAATACCTACTGCACAAAAATTATGAATAAATTTGTAAAATAATGCATAGTTTGATATCGATGGCGGTGGCTGTGTGGTTGGAATGTAGGATTGGCAAGCGGGGGATCTCGGGTATGATTCCCGGCCGGGGGGACCAAAATTTGTGATACTCTAAATCTCACGGTTTCATTGTAGAGCGGAAGTCCCACACGAGACGACTGTATCTGGGCACGTTTTTCCCTCAAGTGATGTTTTCCTTTGTCTTTCGGTGAATGCACTACAAAAAGTTGGGGGTGGGAAGAGAAGAAAAAAAATTTTTTTAGGTAGTTTGATCATTTACAAAATGACAAAAATTTCGGGAAAACTCCGTACCAGCAAAAATGGAAGGGCCGTGAACAATCAAGGGGGACCAAGGTGACATTCCGAAAGTTTGGGCTGGTGAGAAAAAAAAACAATTTTTCCATGATCTATTTGAGATAATGGAAAAAATGCCTACACAGAGAAAAAAAAATGTAAATTCAAGATTTTTTCTCTAGATTCTAGAATCTGCAGTTTAGAACTTGTATCTGGCTAAAATCTAGAAAAAAAAATTAATTTCTGAAAAAAAAAAAATTAAATTAATCAACCAAAAAATGATGGTTTCAAGGCAAAAATATTCTGGAATCTATCGGATTAGGGGATTAAGTTCCCCTCATTAGCACATTTTCAAAATGAAAGGCATTTTGGAAATTTTGAATTTAACCTTTGAAAAAATGGAAAAAATTGTCTTAAAAGGTTGGGCTCAGACGATTCAGCATCATCTGAAACGTACAGATTCGTTATCCCCTAAAGAAACATTTTTTTTTAACTTTTTGGCCCAATTTCAAATTTCCAAATTCTCTTTAAAGAATTAAAAAAAAATTGTCCTCAAAAGTTGGGCTCGAATAATTCAGAATCATCCGAAACGTGCAGATTCACTATCCTCTAAAGTGGACGAGTCGCATGAGTTGTGCCAAAAAGTATAAACATTTTTTTTGTTTTTCCCGAAAATTTGTGCCAAAAGGTCGTACAAAGTCTTTCCCATGAGATATGAAATCTCCTCGTTTCAAATGATTCTGAGTCATCTGAGCCTATCTTTTCGAAATCAAATTTTTAATATTTTTTAACAAGGAATTTGAAAAATTTTGTAAATTCAGGCCAAAAGGTCGTATAAACACTGTCCCAGAAAATATGAAATCTCCACGTTTTGGATGATATTGAGTCATCTGAGCTCAATTTTACGAGACAAATTTTTTCATTTTTCTACGCGTCATTTTTTTAATTTTTTGAAAATTTGTGCCAAAAGGTCGTATAAACACTTTCCCAGAGAAGACGAAATCTCCACGTTTTGGATGATTCTGAGTCATTCGAGCCTAATGTTATGAGACTATTTTTTTTATTTTTTTTCGCGTCATTTTTTTTCACTGAAAATTCGGGCTAAGGTCGTATGAAGGGACGATTACGATTCCTTTGGCGCCACAGTTCGACACATGTTTTCCGTACCATTTTCCCTCAGAATTACGGGAAAAATAATGAAAAAATTCTATTTCAATTATTTATTCCAAAATTTAACGTATTTTGATATAATTTTAATTATTAGCTCAGAATCTTGGGGTCTTGGTGTTAGGGGAGATTAAGGGGGGATCATAGATATAATTTTTGCGATATTGTGGTCTACTGAAAACGGAAAAGAAGAATCCTAAGTTTAACGCAAAATTAATTTTCCAAACAGTCATAATTAGTGCCGTAACAGCCTCCTTGAAAGACATTAAAGAAATGTTCTTCTTTTTTTTATTTCACTTTTTATACCCTGGGAATCCAGGAGCCATGCTACAGCCACGGTATTTGCGTGGCTGTTGCGTGGCTATTAGGATTGTCATTTTCTGGGGCTAAAAAGGGGGAAATGATATCTGAAAACACAATAAAAGTGGATAGACGAATTATTAGTTTATATTTGCACTGTTTATAACATTGTTTTCTATCAATTGATTGAAATTAATGTGAGTGTATATAATGATAATACAAGACCCGTAGGGGGAATGCCGGGAGATGGCGGCAGTGTCGATATCCCAACGGGGTCGGTCAAGTCGACAGGATTCGCAGCCAGAATAAATGAGACCCCAACAGAGGTGGGGCGCCACGGTCGATGCTAACGGCTGGGCGAGCTGCCTGTGCCGGTAACTCGGCAGTAGGGCCAGAAGAAGAATATCCATGGATTTTTGGAGTGGGGGACAAGCATATGAGTGGGAATTACGTAGAGTGGGAGTATCCTGGGGAGGGAAAACATCTGTTAGAAGCCCTACAGCAGTCCCGCTGTCACAGGGGTAGGTCGAAGGGGGGTTTATGTTAAAGAGGATTGACTAAAGTAGAGGCTCAGATCTCGGGGTTAGACTGACCCCAAGCCAAAAGTAGTTCGACCCCAAAGGAGGGATGCCGCCACGGTCGAATCTGACGGCTGGGCGAACTGCCTGTGCGGGTAACTCGGCAGTAACAGTCCCGCTGTTAATGTTTTCAGGTGATTCATTTGCTGGCTAATTAATATTAAGGAATGAAACACAGAGGGTGTGATGGAGAATTAAATTCCCCATCAATCGATCCCCGTTGCATCCCTTAATTTCTGTAACAAAAAAATACAAACTACGACAAAGTCATGGGCCAGTGAGAAAAATAATGTTGTTCTCGGCGCACAGTGACTTTTCACCATTCGCTCGCGAATTAAAAATTCACTTCTCCCCTCCTAATTGAGATTAAGGGATGAAAAAAGAGTAGTTCGACGGAGAATTAAATTCCCCACCAACTGACCCTCTTTCATCCCTTAATCTCTGTGAAAAATGG